CGGAGCAGAGTTTGAGAATGTCTAGAGCGTTGCGCTGGTTTTCGTTCGCCCAAATGGGGCGCGTCAGGGGGTATTGCAGAGGCCCGTTCGCGCCCGGATTGCGGGGATGTCCAGAGCGGTGTGCTTGTTTGCATGATCAGCACCCTCTGTATTCGGAGCAGAGTTTGAGGATGTTTCGGGCGACGCGTTTGTTTTCCAACGCCCAGGGGGGGGCGCGAGGGGATATTACACGGGCCTGTTCGTGCCAGATTGCAGGGATGTCTCGAGCGGTTATCCTGATTGCGTGCTCAGCATGCTATGCTTTCGGAGCAGTTTCTGGGGATGTCTCGGGCGTGGCGCGGGCTTTCGCATGCCCAAGGGGAGCCGCCAGGGGGTATCCCACTCCTCCGCTCGCGCCAAGATTGCGGGGATGCCTCGAGCGGTTTGCCCGTTTGCGCGCTCAACATCCTCCGCTTCCGGAGCAGATTTTGAATATATTTCGGCCACGGCGCTGGCTTGTGCACCCCAGGAGGCCCAGACTGCGAGGATGTTTCGGGTGGTTTGCTTGTTTTGGTGGCCAACTTCGTCTGCGTTCAGACTGCGAGGATGTATCGGATTCACCTATGCTCAATCTCATTCGTGCTCAGACTCACTCGTGCTCAGCCTCGTACTCATCATACTCATACTCCGAGTCACTCATATTCAGAATTACGCACACTCATATTCACTTGCGCTCAGACCCACCCACCCTCAGACCCACTCGTAGTCATACTCACTCGTACTTAGACCCACTCAGACTCAGATTCATATTCATCGTACGCATACTCACACTCATTCACATTCAAACTGAGTCACACTCAGAGTCACTCGCACGCAAACCCACCCACCCTCAGATTCACTCATAGTCAGATTCACTCGTACTCAGACCCATTCAGACTCAAACTCGTACTCAGTATATTCAAACCCAGACCCGCTCACACCCAGATTTGCCCACACTCAGACTCACTCCAACTCAGACTCACTCGGATACAGACTTACTTCGCTGCTCCGAAAGTTCCTTGAATGATCTGGATTGGGCCCGATGGCATTGCGTGCTCGCCTATGTTGCAGTTCTCTTGGCAACGGCCCCGATGGGGTTGACGGGCAGGATGCGTTGAACCCCCCTCCCCCCCCTAGATGCCTAGCAAGATATCCCTCTTGCGTGGTCTCGGCAGGATCCTTGGCGAGTAGCTCCCCCTTTTAATCATATAAGTTTAGTCCGGCCAGCCATAAATCCCACCCATGAAAAACAGGGTCCGCGTAAATCCCACGGTGGGGCCCAATCCATTGAATGTATGACGTGTTCGGGTCGTCTTGAGGTCATCTTGAAATTATGTCCAGGTCCTCTGAAGACCATGGTGCTGTACTCTAGGAATGCTCCGGCCACCTCGGGGTTGCTCTTGGGCCACCGCGCCCGGTCTCCGGGGCATCGCTCACATCTTGGGCCATCTTGGATTTCGCCCCCAGGCCATTTCGACGCTGCGTCTGGATCCCGCAGGGGCTACGGGGTCTTCTTGGGGTCGCCCCGAGGTCATCTTCGTGCCCGTCTGAGGCCGTCGTGGAACCATCTTGGGGGCATGGGGCCGCCCAGGCATCCTGTCTGGTTCGTCTGGAGGTCTTCCGCGTTTCCAAGGAAACTTTCGTTACGCCTAAGTACGCATTCTCAGGCCCACTCGTAGTCAGACTCCCTCTACCCAGACTAACTGACACTCACACTCCACCGCACCCGTGTTCACTCACATTCAGATTCACTCAAATCCAGAACACTCGTGCTAAGATTCACTCAGCAGTCTCTCCTTTGGTAGTCCGATGCCCCCGTGCTCTTCCACTTGTGCTTCCCTCATCTTCTTTGGAAGATGCCCACAGAAGGAGGACGCCATCAAAATCGTCGCTGTCGCCGTCGTCGTTGTCGCGCCCGTCGTCCACGCTGACTCGCTCTCACACCCAGGGGCTCACAGACAGTTCTTCAGCGAGACGTGACAGGAGTATAAGATGCAAATTTGGAGAGCTCCACGCATTGAGTAGTTCCTTAGTGTGCACCGGTAGCACGTGTTGAATAGACTTCCACAGCCAGGGCCACAAAAGGTCTATGCTTTAGCTTTGTCCCCACCAAGAAGGGTCTGGCCAATTTCAATGTAAGTGTTTACTTGGCAGTCCGTGCGACAACACACACACACCACACACACACAAACGCTGGCGGGCTTCTGGAGGCGGTGCCATGTAAGTAAGCTCGTCGCAAAGTGTCCCCAGGGCCTGCGGGTACGTTGAGGAAGAGTTCCTGTGTGTCAAGTGTGTATGATGTCCGCTCTTTTGGAATCGTAACTGCGTTACACCGACAGTGCTCAGAGGTTATCTGAGGAATGGGGGCCACTCGCTCAATGCGAAAGCTTCACTTCTCTTGGGGAAAAGGTTATTCGCCTGCACGCAGGCACGGTTCGGGAAAGTGTCCCGGGCAACGTCCCCCAGAGGCCCGGGAAACATACCACGCGGGAATGTGGCAAAAGAGTGGAAGAGGGGGGGAAGAGGCGATGGGGAGAGAAGTGGCTCGGTAGGAGGGCGGGATGCCACATACTTCAGCATGAACCTCTCACGCCCGCGGACAGTTGCTTTGTGCGACGTAGGTGGTGCCAAACATTGCACCCAGTGCAGAGAGGTGGGACGTCTGGGGGAAGTCGGAGGTCTGAAAGATACACATACCGTTATACATTGCCCGCTTTCCCGTTTTTGGGCCTCCTTGGGCGCTCTCTTCGCCACCGCTCACAGCTAGATTCGCTTCGAAAGTCTGGTCAGAAAGCATCCTGAGAGAGGTCCGGGAAGTAGCGGTATCGGCTTCTTTGGGTTTCCCCTGAGGAGATGGGAAAGTGTCGGCAACGGAGAGAGAATCCCCATCTTGATGCGGCAGTGCACCTCCCCCCCTCGCCGTCAGGTCGGAGGAGGAGAGAGGGCCAAGGAAACGTCACAGGGGGGGAGGGAGGGGAGTGGGGTTAGGGGGGCAGTCCAGGGGTGGAAGCGGAGGCACGGGGAGAGGAGGAGGGGTTGAAGTGAGCAGAAATCCGAGGCGGAACAAGAGACGAAGCTGAGGGAACGCGGTGACAAGTGGAGGAGGAGACTTGGAGGAAGAGGAGGGGAGCCAGAGGAGAGGAGAGGAGTGAGAAGAGGAGATGGGGAGAGCAGGGAGGATAGAGGAGTTGAGCGGAGGGGGGGGAGGAGAGGAGGAGGCTCGCTTGGTTCGGCCCTCAAGGGTGCTCAAGGCAGTCATCGAGGCAGCTTGGCGTGAACGTGCTCTCACACGACTGACCACAGTCGACATTTGACCCAAAGGTGGGCGAGCGTCTGGGATCGCGGCATGAGGAGTAGTATGCGTGAAAGGACGAGGGGTGGGGGATAAAAAGGCATGGGGGAGCGGCATGAGGGAGTGAGGAATGAGGAGGGAGGGGGAGGAGGAGGTGGAGGAGCAGGAGGAGGAGGAGGAGCAGGAGCTGGAGTAGGAGTAGATCGGGGGAGGGGAAGACCATGGAGGAGCGGAAAAATGAGAAGGAGCAGCGAGTGGGGAGGGGGGGAGAAGGAAAGAGGTGGAGGAGAGTGGAGGTAGAAAGAGGGGTGGAAGGGGGAGGAGGGGAGGAGACCAGCGTGAACCCAAGACTCGCCAACGATGTTGGAATACACCCTTCCTCCAAGCTCCCTCTTCACAGGCTCCTTCAAGGGTTCATTTCCACTGAGGGAAGTGGCCCATTGGGGGACAACCGTGTGACAATCTGGAAGCGCGCCAAAGCACCATTGCCAGGAGTTCAACGCCACGATTCAACCAGACTCTTACTTTTGCTACGATTCTGAATCGTGCCAGAATGCCATTCCTGGGACTTCAACATCGCGAATACACGTAACTGGTGCGCCCTGACAATCCTGACTCGCTCCAAAACACCATTTCCGGTTTGTTAATCATGAAGGCTACTTCAACCCTTCCAGTTATCTGTCACGAGTGTGCGCGGCGTTATCGCGAGAGCCCCTGGTTGAAAAGGAGCCGCACCCAATCCGTGAAACGCTTGCGTTTTGTGTTTAACAAAAAATGTACGCGGCGCTACGGCGAGAGCCACATTTTGCAAACGATCCGCGCTCAATCCGCTAAACTCGTGCAACTGTTTTAGACGAATGTGCTCGGCGCTCAGGCGAGAGCGACATTTTGGAAGCGATCCGCCCTCCATCCGTGACACGGTTGCCAGTTGTCAAGCTTCAGGTTCATTAGTGGTGATGAAGTCTAAGGCGAAATGCCCGGCCTTCCCTTCCTACTAGTCTGGGGTGCGACAGGGAAGAGTTGTTCAGAAGGAAAAGAACTAAAGGAGGATACAGGGGGAGTCGGCGGAGGAGGAGGAGGAGGAGGAGGAGGAGTAGGAAGAGGATACAGAGCGGTGGAGAGGAGGATGAGGGGAAGAGGGGGAGGGGGAGAATGATGACGGGAATATCATAGGAGGAAGGCGGGGGAGGAGAGGGGCAGGGAAGAGAAGGAGGCGAGATGAAGATGGACGAGACAAAGAAGGGAACATGATCAGGTTGCGGAGGAGGGAGTGTAGGGGAGGAGGAGAGGAGAGAGGCTGAGGGGAGTAGGGAAGTAGTGATGGAAGAAGAGGAGCAGGAGGATCCCGAAGGGCTTGGCGACTCTGATCTATCGTCTGGTGGGGACCAGACCAATCACATCGAGGTAGCTCCAGGTGGATCAAGGTACAGCCATACCAAACGAGGCAAACCCAAGATATCAAGGTAAACGTGGAACCACTCGCGGAAGCCCTACTTCGAGCCGAGGGACAACAGAAGTCGATCAGCCTTTAGCGAGGCGAGGAGGAGGGGAAGGAGGAGCAGCAGCAGCAGCAGCAGCAGCAGCAGCAGGAGGAACAGTGGGGGGAGTGTGGGGGCGACGGGTGGGGAAGGGAGGGGGGGGAGGGAGTGCAGTGGAGGGAGACGCTTCGGCTTCGGACGGGCACGCGCAGGACGGGAAGTGCCACCGTCCTGGACGCCCTGTCCAAACATGACCTCATCCCGAGGAGCCTCCGCCCCCCTCCCCCCCCCCCACCTTTTCGGGCGAGAGGAGGAGGAGGAGGAGGAACAGGATGAGGGTGCTGATGAGGAGAACGAGCTTTGCCCGCTGCCGCAATCACTGACTCAGGCGTCAACCTTGAGCGACGGATTGACTGAGAATGGGGTGGAGGGCCGCATGAAGCACAGACTGCACCGCCGTGCTGCAACAGCCTTCCTCCCGACGCACCTCTCGGTATGAGTCGCTATACGTGTTTTCTCTCCCGTTCCTTACGGGGGAGGGGCCTTCTTGACAGGCGAGCGCCCCATTGTGTCTGGTGTTCGAGTGATGACCCCGGATTGACATGTGGCCGCCTTTCAAGGTCGTAGGGACCCGAACACCGAGCTGTATTTGATGACCACACACCTTAGGGACAGCACATTGAGAGTCCCCTTGCGACAGTTAGCCGCTCTCCGTCCGTGCAGCTGCTGCACATGTTGTTATTTTCGGTTCTTGCGTGTCGGACACGTTTCAAGAAACGGCTACACGATGAACGGCTGCCCCATTTTGAATCGGGGCGGCCTTTCATCGAATAACCGTTGTTTTTGCGAGTAGGCAGACAGGCCTCGCGATAACATGTGAGGAAACACCTAGCGATGCCCCACCTTAGAAAAGGCGTATCATGTACCCATCCGTGTATATGATGCAGGCGCGTAAGACGAATTCGCGCGGCGCCAGGGCGAGGGAGAGATCTTGAAAACGGCACCACCTCCATCCTTTGTTGCCGACTCAAGCTTGAACGACAAACGTGCGCGGCGCTAAGGCAAGAGACAGGCGTGGAATTTGCCGCCAACTCCAACCGTATGACTTTTACAGTATTTGAGAACGGATGTGGGAGGAGTCCATGCAAAAGTCTCATTTGAAAGGCGCCAGGCCTCCAATCGTGTAGTTCGCGCGATGTGAACTTACGCGGCCTTACGGCGAGAGCTGCATTTGGAAATCGACCAGCCCTCCAGCCGTGTACCATGACGACTCGATCCGAGGAAGATTTGAGCGAATTGCCCAGCACGCCCTACCGACATGTTTCATGGTGCGACGGGCAGGGGTGATTGATAGAGCGTAGGGGCTGGATGAGAGGTGGAGGAAGAGAAGGAGGACGGTGGAGTGAGGGGTTCTCTTCCACCGCTCAGTCTCGCATTATGCGCCCACACAAGAAGCACGGCAAGTGGGCCAGACCTTGCGGACCACTAGGGTTATCCAGGTGCCTCTGGATACATCCGCGGACCTCTGGCGCAAAGTCTCCTGGCGATTTCGTCTCATCCGAAACACGTGTTTGTCCTTTTGCGGCAAGGCCAGAGGGAGGCACCACACGTCATTGAGGCTGCACCCAATTTCACCCAAAGATGCAGCTAGGAGGGAGGTGCCCCTGACAGTGGCTTCTACCGTGGCCGCGTGGCGACAGCCGGCTCACGCATGCTGGCTTAACACGTTGTAGCCACAGCTTGGTGCTCATCGGAGGGTCAGATGAGAAGTTTGCTTGCGAGCAGGTGTCGCACAGAAAGTTCGTATTTCCGAAAGGCACTGGGGGTCCACTGAAGCCTTGGGGCAGCGTCGGGAGATGACCCCGCTGCAGAGACCCTTGGAGGCCCGTGGGCTGGGCCATTGCGCAGCGCCCGGCTGAATCTTCCCAGACGGCTACATTCCCGGATGCCGTTCTTGCGCGTTTAGTTACATTCCCACGGCTTTCCATCAGCCCCCTTTCCGTGTATCAGTCGGTCCATCCATGTCTATATGTGGGGAGGTTAGGTGGTGACTTCTCTTCCTGTTTCCATTGGCCTTGGAGACCCTCCTCGTCACCACACTCTCTCCGTAGACATTCAGGGTGAGGCTCCGCAGCACTGGCGGCTTAGGCCCTGGCCGCTTAGCTGCGGGAGCTCCATCCCAGGCGCGCGCGCGCTCCCGCCACCCGATGCCTGCGTGGCCGCAGGGGGGCTACGACGACGGGGGCGCCCGCAACGGCATCGCCCCGACAACGATTGTCGGGGGCTGCGGCGACGGGGGCGCCCGCAGCGGCATCGTCCCGACAACGATTGCCGTCCCCCTTGTGCTGCCCTTAGGGGACAAGGCGTCTTGGCAGCCCGGGCCCGGGTCGGCGTGGATCGGCAACGATGCGCAGTTCTTGTCGTCGTGGCGCTGCAAGACGCGGACGAGCAGTTCCCCTCCTGTGACGACGCCGGGAGAGTGGGGGGGCGGTAGGGGTAAGACTCTGACATCATCGCGTCGCGGAAAAGTCACGACGGACGGTTTGGGGGGCACTCTTCGGCCTCCCCGGGCCTTGACCGTGCGGTGCCCCAGTGGTCAGGGCCCCCCCGGATTGTCAACCAAGAAACGACTCAGAGTGAAAAGTCGGCCCCAGGGGAGGAGCGATTTATTTCAGATTCAAGCGTCACCTCAAGCTTTCCCTCAGGGGCTCGCTGGGGACCCTCCCACCTCCATGCGAGCAAACTTGCCAGACTCGGATCAGAACCGAGTTTTCGGGGGGGAGCCGGACGTCGGGGGAGGAGCGGGCAGCCTGCCGCCGTGGCGCGGGGCCCTGCGCAGCCAGCAGTCCGCAGGCCCCAGCGGCCTGCGCGCCGGCAGCGGCGGCGGCCCGGGGCCGGGCTCCCCCGGGGCCGGGGGAGCCTCGCCGCTCCGCGACGCCGGCCCGCCCGGCCGGACTCTGGCCAGCGGCCCGGCCGCCCGCCCGCCGGCGCTGCTGCGGGCGGCCACGGAGGACCCGATCGCGGCGGCCACGGCCGCGCTGAGCAGGTGGCCGCGCCGCGGGGAGCGGCGGCCGGCGGGCGGCGGCCAGGGCGGCGCGGCCGCCGCGAGCGGGGGCGGGCGCCGCGAGGCCGCGCGCCCGCCTGCGCTGCCCCAGCCGTGGTGGCAGCCGCGCGCTGCGGAGCCGGGCGCGCGCCGCGAGGCCGGCGCCGCCGAGGCGTGGCCGCGCCAGGCCTTTAAGTCGGGCGTGTCCCTCTAAAGGTTCGAAGAGTGCTCAAAAATAGTCAGGGGGCGATGTTGCGGTTCGTTTTTGGTTGTGGGCATTTTGGCGTTTTGGGGGTTTCTTTTCATTTTTCGTTCCAAATCTGCCTGTAGAGGGGGACATGCCCGACCTGACGCCAGGCGGGGCAGCGCCTGCAGATGGCGCAGGCGCAGCACCTGCTCGCGCTCTCGCCGCGGGAGGCTCGGGGGGGGGGGGCCTGGCCAGAGGAGAGCGAGGCATAGGCGGTGGCGGTGGGCCTTCGGGGAGGCCCCTCGTCGCGCCAAGGTTGGGCGCAGCTCGGAGATACGTGGTGTGTCTGGGCCCCGGCAGGGGTCCCCATAGGGGTCCAGGGGGCCGATTTTGATCGCGCCCCGGAGAGCCGCCAGATCTCAGAGATCCCCGACTTTGTCCCGATCCGATTCTGTCCCGATCCTGGCTTCGCCCCAGATCATCGTCGGAGCCATCCCCACCCCCACTGGGACAGGGCAAGGCTCTCCCAAAGCACCCGACCCGCTCTATATAGTGGGGATCAATGAGTGCTGCGAAACCCGGGAGAGACGGCCCCGACTGGCGGGGGTAAGTATGTCGGCCAGCGGGCCAAGATTTCCCTGGTCGGTGGAGATAGTTTCCGAGACATCTGACGTCACATTTTTTTCGCAACGTGGCTCCCCACTCGGCCCAGTCCAGGGGACCGCCTTTTCACCTTGAGTCGTTTTCTGCCTGGCTGGGGGCACCGCGAGGTCCCCCAGAGGCCGAACATAATTAGCAAACGACACACGCCCGTCGCGTCTGCTCCGCGACGCGAGGGGGTCATGGGTGGGGCTTCCCTGACCTGCCAGGCTGCCAGAAAAGTATAGCCCTGCCGAAAGCCCCGACAGGAATTTGGGCCTGGTGCTAGTTTTTAGACCTGGAAGGTCAGGGTCCCAGAGATCCACTGTAGTGTTTTTTTCAGTGCGGGACTCCCGGTGCTCCCGACCCTTTCCCTGGGACCGGTTTCTCATCCTGCGTCGCTTTCTGACAGTCCCGGGGCCCGGCGAGGGCCTCTCGAGGCCGAAACGGGCGAAAAACCTCCGTCCCCAGACATGCGACGTCCTGATTTTTCCTGGACGGCGTCCCTGGAAGTCCCGACCCTTTCCCCAGGACCGGTTCCTCGTCCTGAATCATTTTTGTTGACGGTCCCGAGTCCCGGCGAGGGCCCCCCGGGGCCGAAGATGTAGTGAAAAATCGGCCGCCTTGATGTTTGTTCCGACGCGATCCTGTCTGGGCCCCTGAGTTTTTCGATACGCTGGATCTCCAGGGTCGATCGCCTGATCTCAGCGAGCGAAGACCGGTATAACATAAACTTTCCGCCGTCGGGGACACCTGCCCCTGGGCGGCTGGAAAGTTTATGCCCCTACTGTGCCACCGTAAGGGTATGAACTTTCCAGCCGCCCAGGGGCAGGTGTCCCCGACGGCGGAAAGTTTGTTTTATACCGTTCTTCTCAGAGCGTGAATTACCTACCCCGCTTTCGCTTCCAGGCAAAACCAAGCCATACCACGCGCCTCCTCGTCAAGCGGCCTGACCAGTACAGGCCGTAGTTTGGCATCGTTTGGTATCTCTTGGAAGCGAGGGTGGTCAAAAGCGAGGTAGGTTTGTTTTCCCCCTAGAAAGTTTCTTTTATACCGTTCTTCGCCCTTGAATTATCCATGAGCGGAGGCGGCGCGCGGGCTGGCGCGGCGGGCGGGGCGGCCGCCGCGCCCGCCGAGGGCGGCCCGGCGGCGGCCTGCCGGGCGCCGCCGCGGGAGCCTGCGCCGCCCGGCGGCGCGCCCACGCCGCCCGGGTGACGCGGGGTCGCCCTGAGGCCCAGCGCTCGAAGCGTAATGCACCACCTACCAAACCACCCCAACCCAACCCGAAGGCTCAGATTTACCCTCGATTTCTAGTGGGGGGGGGTCGGGAAACATCGAAAAAAAGCACGCGTGGAACCCTTACCCCCCCCCCGACCCGAAGTTCGGGTCTTCGGGTTGGGCTGGGGTGGTCTGGTAGGTAGTCAGTAATGCGGGATGAACGATTAAAAGAATAGTTGTTTGTGATTTCTGCACAACCTTCTGACTGGAGGAGGACGATTTTTAAAAAATAGTTTTCCAGCCCGCGGCCGTTTTTTTTTTTTTTCTTTTTTCTATAATCGTCATCCCGGGCACCGCAGCGCGAACACGACCCCCGGTCATTTATTAATCGTCATCCTCCATTGCACGGTGGGGGCGCGCATCTCAAGAAACCATCATGGAGGATGACGATTCATAAAGGACCGGGGGTCGCGTTCACGCGGCGGCGCCCGGGATGACGACTAGAAAAGACCGGCCGCGGGCGGAGAAGTATTTCTTTTCATCGTTCTCCTCCAGTCAGAACTTGTGCAGAAATAGCAAAACAACTATTTGTTTAATCGTTCCCTCCCATTTTTTATCGTCATCCCGCATTACACGTTGTTGATTTCTAAGTATTCGAAAGTTCTTAGATCTTTTTTGGGTGCCAAGATCTGTTCGTTTCGAGTTCTTCTATCCTGGGCCTCTTCCTGGCCACTAGGGGGCCAGGAACAGTTAGAAACAAGCACAATTAGAAATGAGCACGATTAGAAATCAACGACGTGTAATTCAAATCCCTTATAAATCGTTCCCTGGGTCCGGTCTTTTCAGGCGCCGTTTTTTGTAACTGGGGGGGTCCGGTTTAGTAGGGCGCTTTCTTTGGATTGGAGCCTAGGGGGTCTGGTTTATCAAGGCGCCACGTCGAAGAGGGGGGTCTGGAATATTAGGTCGCATTTGGAGGGGGGTCCGGTTTTTTAGGGGGGGTCGATCAATAAGGGATTTGGAATAGGTCATCACAGCAGGTCGTCACCAACCCGTCTGCAGCCAATCCGCTGCCGCGTCGCACTGCAAGCTCGAGTCGCGAGGTTGCGCTCGGTGGTTTCGGGACTACATACATGGGTACGGAAAGAGTGGGTACGCAGACCGACAGCAGTTCTTGTTCACTCTGAACAGGACTCGCTGTCGGTGTCGCCGCGGCCTGTGTCCATGTGAAACAGAAGGCCGCCGGCCCGACAGCGGCCGCTGCTGGTTTGGGACAACACGTAGTATTGTTGGGCATTGTACCCTTTTTCATGTACCCATTCTGGGCGTCCAAGTGGCTGTGCGCAGCGACCAGAGAAGTGAGGAGACGTTGGGCATTGTCCCCTTTTTGTGCGTGCTCCTTCCGGGCGTCCGGCTGGCTGAGCGCAGCGGACAGAGAGGAGAGGAGGCGGGGAGGGCGGAGAGCTTGCATCGGACCGTCCCGCCCTTGCGTTGTGTTTCCTGTGGAGCTGCCGCTCCTCTCCGGCCTCCGCGAAGACTCTCTGTACTCCGCCCCGAGGGCCGAAGGGAGCCGCCCGGAGGCAACGCGTGGCTCATAGCTACACCGCCGGCCATCCCAGAGCCTTTCGTGACGTTGCCCTTCGGTGATGTTTTTTTTGAGGCCTCGTTTGGCCCCTCCACCCCGTCCGCCTCCCCGTCCTCCCCGTCCTCCTCCTCGAGGAAGGTTTCCTGGCTCTCCCCACTGGGCAGCTCGCTCGCCTCAAAGGTGCACTGCTGTGCCGGGCTGGGGGGGGTGCAGCGGCAAGCGTGATCCCTTCTTCTTGTTTCCAGCGCCTTGTGTGCTCGCTGGCCAGCAGGCTGAACGTGTCCAGGCTACACGGGGCGTCGTATCCGCCATCTGGACTGGCGCAATCGGCCGGCCCATTGTCATGGTTTGTCCACGAACAACGGTTATCATCTGAGGCTGGCGCGAGGGTGCGCCCATCTTGCATCGTTCTGCCATCCTGCCACAGAAGGGCATGGACCCACGTGGACAGGCCAGCGGGAACAGGTGTGGGGGATCTCGACGGACAAGGTCTGGAGGGAGAGAACCGCCAACCTGGCCGATCCTCTCGTCTGGATGGCGGGGCCAACAACGTGCGAGGTGCCCTCATGCTTACAGTGACTCGAGGGTGGCTTCGCCAGAACCTCCGCGTGCCAGCGTTAGCGCTGCTCACGGCGCACAGGTTTTAATTTTCGGAGCGGCCGTGAGAGATATCGGCCTCCAAAGGTAGTCACCGATTTCGACGTCATCGATCAACTCGGCCTCTGATGGCCATCTGCCATCTCCTCGAATTTGCCTGTTCGTATGGTTAAGAACTGGCAGCTTCCTACGCAGGTGGCTGTAAATATCTTCGATTTTGCGCCAAGCTCGGGCTTGGCTGTAGTCCTAGCCGATGGGCACGAGTCATTCTTCATGCGCGCAGCGACGGTGGATTTTTTGCTTGCCCTGGCGACCGGCATTTGCGGGGCTACAGCGCTTATCTGCGCCCCTGCCGTGCACCATTCCTCGTCTGCCTGTCTCCGTTGTCGTCTCCACTGCCCTGCCAAGCTCCACCATGTATGTGACGCTACTTGTTGGCACTTCTTTGCGCACCCCAGGACACCTGGCGGCGCGCACGCGCGGGGATCCACCGCCACAGCCGGACAGGAGGTTTACAAAGGAGCTTGGGCGTCGCGCCACGGGGGGCGACGGATGGAGGGGGCAGCGAAGGTTGCCGAAAAGGGGCCCTTTAGGGCCCCCTTCTGGACCCCTTTGGGCCCAAGCAGGGGGCCTTCAGGCTTCAGGGGCCAAAAAGTGCACCTTTCTCTCCCCCCTTCTGCGTCGCCTTCCCATTGAGCCACGCCCAGGACGCGCGTGCGGAGCACGTCTCGGAGCACAGGTTCCTTGTGCCAGGATGTTGGTGCATGCGCAGTGCTCCGTTGTAGAATCACACGGGGGCGCCTGCTCTCCGTCGCCACTCGCCCGAGTGAGTTTTTCCGCCAGGGGTCCTCGCAGTTTACAGTGCAGTTTCACTGGCCAGCTTGGACAGAAAACTGACAGCTTGGCGCACAGAGCTTGAAGTTGGAGCCCGCCTGCCACCTGTGCCAGAGCAGGCCGTGGACGAGCTCGTCCAGCATGTCGTTGGGACGTTCACCTACAAAGGCATTCGATTGCAAAGTTCGGTGAGCCATGGTGCGTCGCTGTTCAAGACCGGAGGGAATGGCGTGCGCAGGCCGAGGGCTGCGCGCTGGACTTCTGAACCAAATTCTGCATGTCGGTTTGTCGTCGCCCACACGGATGCACAGCTTTCTGCCCACGTCCGCTTGCGCACCGATTCCATTCGACCGGGCTTTGCTTTCTTGCTGACAGGCGTGTGGTTCAGGGATCGCCAAGATGTGGGGACCCGCCAGGGGTACCCTTTCACCAACAACACACTGGGCACCGCTGAGGGGGTATCCGCAACATGGTTCAGAAGTAAGCATTCAAACAATCCGAACCGCGGAAGCCCACGTCAGCCATACACCAAGGGATGGTGTAAGACCGTTCGGCCCCGTCACTTTGATACAACCTTTCCGAATTGCTTATCCGCCAGCGCTGCTGGGAACCAAAGTCGGCAAACACGCTGCCCACCGTTCCTCCTTCTCCACCCCCTGGGCTATTCAATCCAACCCGTGGCGTTTATGGCTTGGAGCTGTGACGGGCTTCGTTCGCGCTTTCCTGTTCGCCCATGTTCCCCTCTCCAACTGAACGCTGTGTAAAAATCGAAGCTGTCTTCATGATGGGAACAATGTGTGAGCGATTCTCCAAAATTGAAGGCCTGCGCATACGAGGGTGCCCTCCCATCATTCCCTCACCTCTGAGCCAAGCCTTTGGCAAAGACGGCATGCTGGCGCTGGGGAAGCGAGGGCACGACCGCTTGGGCACTCGTTTTTTTTTTCTCGGACGCCTCGGAAAGCCAGGTGCTTCGAGCTGTTCTTCCGACACCCCTGGAACAACCTGCTGCACAACGCGGTCCTCGAGCTGGTCACCAAGGCCCGACCCCCGCGCGGCGGCACGTGCCACCACAGCGGCCTGCGCGCCTCTCCCCGCTGCCTCTGCGTCGCCCGTGTCCCGCTTCTGGTCCGATAGAGCCGCTGCGTGGAGAGCGGCGGGGGGGATGTCGGCAGCGCCCTCGCTTCAATTTGGCGTGCCGCACTGACGGCCCGCGTAAGCCACCGCGTAAGGTCGCTGTGCCATCGTGCGCAAGACCTCTTTGCGGTCGTCGCTCCGATGGGGTCCTCGTGGGATGGGGTCGGAGGATCACGCCGCGTCGCCGACGCCAACCTCGAGCGCCGCCCTCGCTGCCGCCGCGCGCCCTTCGCGCCGCGCGCCGAGCGCCCTTCGCGCCGCGCGCCGCCGGCCCCCTCGGAGCGCCGACGCGCGCGCGGGCCGTGCCGCCTCGGAGCGGCGTGGAGCGGCGGCGCTTGGATGAAGAGGCGGGCTGCCAGGCGACGACGGCGGGACGGCAATCGCGAGGAACGTGTGACCCCGACGGGGAGGACGAGCGCCGAGAGGGTGAGGAGAAGGAGGAGAACAACGAGGAGGAAGAGAAGGAGTAGGAGGAGGAGGATAAGTATGAGATGGAAGTCTACGGGCACGTAGAGTGGAGGGAGTGGAGGTCATGGCGAGGCGCGTGCGGTTGAATGGCAAAACCGTTAAGATAGGAGTGCGTGGGAGGGATTGCCAGGGTCAACGTTAGCGGGGTGACAGGCTCCAGGGGGAACGCATCAACCCCCAACCGCCCATTCAACATTGATAAGGGCCTGACAACCCGCCCCGCTCAAGAACATGCGGTTTCGCTGTCCCGGAGCCCTCCGAGACCCCCCGGAGGCTCGGAATTGGCCCCGTGACTTTGCCAGGATGAACCCCAGACCTCCGACGTCGTGTTCTGTCAATGCGTGGGCCTGAGGGCCCTCGGCCCATTCCCCGAGAGCAGCGCTGCGTCCCCGGACCATTCCTTGTTGCCCCCGGGGGCCCGACAACGGCCCGAAATCCAGGGAAAGCGATCGTTTCCAACAAGAAAACGACGTTGGAATTCTGAAGGCAGTGCCGCATAAGGCATTCACACATCACCACCAGGGCTACCTTGGGCCCCAGGATGGTGTAAAGCGGTTGCATATTGGTGCCCTCTGCGCCGAAGGATAGGGTGAGAGGCGCCTCAAGCCCCCAGCGGAGGTCCTGTCGGGCGTCTCGGATGCCGTGCGCCCCACGCTGCTGGTGCACCTGCTCCGCGAGCGTGGGACGGGGGAAGGGCCGCGACAGAGCCATTGCCGCCCATCGCCCTCCGTCCCCCAGAGGGCCCCTCGGTCCCCCCGCCCTCCCCCTCTGAACGCCCCCTTCCCGCCCTCCCTCCACTCGTCCTCCCTCTCCGCCGCCTCCCTCCCCCTCAAACGCGCCCTTGCCCACCTCCTCTCATGGTTCGTTATGAGTTTAGTGCCGCGCACATTCGCCTTACACATGTGCAACAGCTTCAAGGATGGACGGCGGCTCTTTTGCCGAAAAGGGGCTCGGGCCCAGGGTTTTCTTTTTGTTTTTTGTATGGTAAGCCCGTTCCCGGTGCCAAGTTCGAAGAGGGCCGGCGGACGAATGTGTCATAGATAATGATGTCGAAGAAGGTTGGCGGAGTAAGTGTTGACCCGAGCGAAACGCTGGTTTTTGAACCCCCGACGGGTAAAACACATGGTCAAGTGAACATGTTCCTTTGTAGCGGATGTCTCGAGCGAAACGCTTAGTTTGTAGAATGTGTTGAGAATGCCTCGAGCGAAGCGAGTGTTTTGTCCTACAGCTTGCTCCTCTCCTCGAGGCCAGACTTCAGAGGATGTCTCAGGCGAAATGCTTGTTTTCACGTGTCCAGACCACCTGGGGAGGTACCTAACATGGTTGGCCCCAGCGGGTACCTGTTTTCCCGTGTCCAGGCCACCCAGGAGTGTATCTAAGGTCGTGGTCCCGCGCATGAGCCACCTGCTTTTACGTGTCCAGGCCACTCAGTGGGGTATCTAACATGGTGGTCCCAAGTTGGAACCATGCGCTTTTACGCGTCCAGGTCACCCAGAAGGGGTATCTAACATGGTTGCCCCAAGCTGGAACGACATGTTTTTTCGTTTGCGGGCCACCCACCGGGGGGTACCTAACATGTGGTTGTTTTGGGGCCCCCAGCGAGGGGGCCCACAAGAACTAGACAATATCATGACATACAGCGGCATCAAATGGGTAATAATTTGGTACAATGTCTTCGGCGGGGGATTTTCTGTTTTCCCCTTGGGTTATCTAACATGGTGGTCCCGAGCCGGAGCTATTTCTTCACGTGCCCAGGCCACCCAGATAGGTATCGACCATGATAACTCCGAGCTGGAACCACCAGTTTTTTTTTCGTGTCCAGGCCACCTAGAGGGGTATCTAGCATTGTAGCCGTACGCTGGAGCCACATGTTTTTTCTTGTCCAGGCCACCAGTGGTCAGTGGGGTATCTAACATGGCGCCATGGGTTCGTACGTGTCCAGGCCGCGGGGGAGGGGATCTAAGATGGTTGCTTCTTGCCCCTCGCTGGAAACCATTGTTTTCATGCGCCCAGGCCAACCAGAGAGGTATCTGACATTGTGGCCCCGAGCTGGAACCACCGGTTTTTTTCGTGTCCAGGCCAGCTGGAGGGGTACCCAGCATGTTGGCCCTGAGCTGGAGCCACACGCTTTTAGCGTGTGCTGGCCACCCAGGTGGGGGAGGTATCCAACATGTAGTCGCCCGGGCGCACCCAGCGTGGGGGCCCGTAAATCACCACTGGATGTGTGATAACCTGACGCTGTTTCTTCGGCTGGTGATGCTCCCGACTTTCCAGCTGGGGTGTCGAACATGGTGGTCCCGAGCAGGAGCCACGTGTTTTTGTTCGTGTCGAGGCCACCGAGGTGGATATCTAACATGGTCGTCCCTAGCTGGAACCACTTGTACTTTACGTGCCCAGGGGCACCAAGGGCTGTATATAACATGGTTGCCCCGAGCTGGAGCCACGTGGTTCAACGTGTCCAGGCCACTCAGAGCAATATTTAACATGAGGGTTCCGAGCTGGAACCACGTACGGTGGGGGTGTTCGTTAAGGAACGTGCCCAGGAGGCGCCAGACCCTGGAGGGTTCCTTACCTGATGAGGGCGGCGGTGATGTCCATGGCCAAGCCTCAATTGGAGTTCCACTGGCTTTCAGACCCTGGATTCCTTATCGAAGGGTTCCTTATTGTCCATGCTGCCCAGGAGGGGGGGGGGAGATCTAAGATGGCTATGGATTGCCCCTCGCTGGAAACATGTGTTTTCATGTGTCCAGGCCGCTCAGAGAGGTATCGAACATGGTGGTCCCGAGCTGGAACCACGTGCCTTTTACGTGCCCAGGCCTGTCCAGGTCACCCACCCAGAGGGGTATCTAACATGCCTGTCCCGAACTGGAGCCACGTGCTTGCCAGTGTCCAGGCCACCAGCGTGGATATTTCACATGGTGGCCCCGAGCCGCAGCAATGTGTTGTCCCGCTTCCAGGCCACCCAGAAGGGCTATCCAACGTGGCCGCCCCGAGCGAGAACCACGTTTTTTTTCCGTGCGCGGGCCACCCACGGTGGGGCATCTGACATGTGGTCGTCTGCGTGCCCCCAGCGTGGGGTGCCCACAAGGGCCAGACAAGATCAATCGATCGGCACCAGATGTGTGTTATCATGTGATGGTTTCTTCGGCTGGCGATGTTTCCGACTTCCAACTGCGGTATCTGACATGGCGTTCCCGAACTGAAGCCGTGTGTTTTCACGCGGGACAGGCGTGAATTGACGCAGCTCCTAATGCTCCACAGCGGGGCAGGCGCGAGAACACGCGGGGTCCTCACGCCCCAGAGCGGGACAAGCGTGCAAACGCGTGGGTTCCTAACGCCCCAGGGCGGGACAGGCGTGAAATGCACGCTGGTCCCTTTGCGCCCCAGGGCGGGACAGGTGCGAAAACACGTGGGCGTTGGAAGTCCAAAACGGGGCGCGCGTGAGAACACATGGGTTCCTAGCGCTCCCGATCGAGACAAGCATGGAGCCATGTGGGTTCCGAACGCCTCAGAGCGGGACGGGCGTGAAGACACGTAGCTCCTAATGCCTCGGAGCGGGGCACGCGTGATCACGCATGGGTTCCGAACTCCCTGGAACGGGACAAGCGTGCAGATGCGTAGGTTCTTACCGCCTCGGGGCGCCACAAAGCGTGGATAGCACGTGGGTGACGACGCGGGGGTTTCCAGCGCTCCAGGGAGGCGTATGCTCTTCCCCCCTCGGCGCGCCCCCTGGCTCGTCCTCTGTCGCGTTCCCTGGCTCGTCCCCTGGCGCTTACCGTGTCCGTTCCGTGGCGCGTCCTTTGCCACGTCCCTTGACACGTCCCCTGGCACGTCCCCGAGTGCGCCCCTGGCACATGCCGTGGAGCGTCCATGCGCCCTGCGCCCCGTGTCGTCTCGTCCCGCTTCGGAACTGGGTCGGATCTTGAGCTCGACTTGATTATTTTTTCTGCGACATTCGACTTGAGCTAGCTCTGGGCGAGTTGTGCCCTCAGGCAGCTCGAGCTTATAAGATCCACATCAGTTCGAGCAGGCCCCGTGGCGCGCCCCCTGTTACATCGCGCCACGTCCCCTGGCACATCCACTGCCACGTTCAGTGGCGCGTCCCCTGGCACGCCACTGTGTGGCGTGGCATAGCGCAGAGCAGCACAGCACAGCCCCTGGCACAGTGTCATCACCATTCGTATCTGCAGCATGGCCACTGCCCATCGCCCAGCTGAGGTGCTTGGAAATGTTTCCATGCCTCGCAGTTCGAAGTCCCCTTTCTGGGTTCTTGGGTCGATCATGTTTCAAACAGCATGCCCTCGCATTAGCGGAGCGCCTGGCGCATTCGTTTTGAACGTTCGCACTAGTTTCAAGGTTTCGTATGATCGACATCTCAGGAATGCTGTGATGGCAAGATTTATGGGTGTCAGGACGCACCAGTCACGTTGATTCGCGGTGATGAAGTCACATGAAAAGCCTTCGTCGGCGATTTAGGGACTGCTCGTACGCAACAGCAACGTTGATCGCTACGCTGGAGCCCCAAGAATGGTGTTTGGCACGATTGAGCATTCTCGGACGGTCGTCTTTCAATGGGGCATTTCAATTGGGCATTTCCCGCAATGGTGTTTGGAAACGGTTACATGCCTCGTAGTTCTAAGTCCCTTTCCAGTTTTGTGGGTCGATCATGGTTTGCAAGGCCTTATGATGACGGAATTTTCAGGGCGGGTGTATTGCAACATCGTTGATGCGATTTGATTTTGCATTGTTCCTCCTCGTCCTCCTCATTATCATCCTCTCCCTTTTCCTCCTCCTCCTCCTCACCCTGAAGCTGCTCTCAACACCCCCTCAACCTTGCGGTCACCTGGTTCTTTACTTCGACCTCAACTCGCTCATCTTTTCTCCCTACAGTCCTCCCTCCGAATCTTGCTTTCTCACGGGCTTCCAACATGGACCCCTCTTTGCGCAGTTTGTTGTGCCGCGTCAAGGGGGCGGGAGAGAGAGAGAGAGAGAGTGTGTGTGTGTGTGTGTGTGAAAGGGAGAAAGAGAGAGAGAGAGAGAGAGAGAGACTGGGAGAGAGAGGGAGGGAAGGAAGGGAGGGGGGCAGGCGATGGGGAGAGGGGAGGGGGAGTGGGAAGGGAATGCGAGGGGTGGACAGGAGGGGTGGATGGGGAAGGGTTGAGAAGAAAGGGGGGAGGGGGGCAAACAGTCTGAGGTGGGGTCGTGGGTGGGGGCAAGGATGATGGTGGCATAGGCGGGGGGGACGGGGACGGCGGAAGAGGACGACGATGGTGTAGATGATGATGCTGTTTGTAATGATGAAGGTGCAGCTGGTGATGATGCTGATGATGATGGTGGTGGTGATGATGCTGATGATGAGGATGCTGCTGATGATGTTGATGATGTTGATGATGGTGATGGTGCTGACGATACGGATACTGATGATGACGAGGATGTTGTTGATGATGACGATGATGAAGATGATGATGATGATGGTGATGATGAATGGGAATCCTCAGTCGAAGCCATTGGCTCGAAGGAGTCGACCAATGAATAGGAATGTGAGGATGGACGTCGGTGTGTGAGGAGAGGGGTAATGGAGAAGGGCGCGGAGCAGGATGATGCGGAGGAGGAGGAGTGCGGACCAGAAGAGGACCAACGAGGAGCAGTACGATGATGCATACGAGGACGAGGGGGAAC